TTCTGTTTCAGTAATGAAGTTTGCTTCACATAGTTCTTTTTTATCTGTGGACACAGTACACAAATAGCCCTGGTCTCCACAGATGAAGTAGACGTAGTTGGAGTAGGACCAACAGTAACTTGAGTAACAAAATCCACCGAAGAAGGAATAGCACACTTTTTCTGACTCTTCTTAGTACTTTCTTCTTGAGGGCAATCACTAACAAACCGTGAACTTATAAATTCCACAAGTTTGGCACTGTTGACACTTGGATTCTTTTTCAAGTTGAATACATGTTTGTAAATATGGGCAACAGAAAGTCGTGTTGATGAGTTGTCAATCACACCAAACAATTCATGTAATTTCTTTACAGTTTTAGCTGCATTTTTTGATGTCTACATACATTTGTAGGACATAACCATTCAAGAGAGGCCGCTGCGACTGGTATTTGAATGTCTCTACATAGTCCCAAACAGCTTTCGAACTTGTGAAGAAATTTATGACTCAGTGTTCTAAGTAACTACCAATTCACTGGGTGTACGCGCAGTCACAATGTAAATAATTATTCCACTTGTTTAATCCAGGCAACGAAAGTCACGAAAATCATATTCACGACGACCACGAAGCAATCTAAAAATAGAAAAGTCGGCCTGTCGATTCAGATCGTTAAAGCTCTAGCACAGACTACAGAACAATATACACACCACCAATACACGTGGAAATCCACTGAAAATCATTACCAAGTCCATTTTCGACGTCATTGAGAAGAAAACAATCACATTGGAGAAGATTCACCACCAAGAATGTCGTACTTCGAAAGCTCTCAAAATGGCGTCGCTTCGCGTGTTTACTACCAGAAATCACAAACCGCTTGACTCGGGGACTTCCGCCCCACCTCCACGGCGAACGGTAAACACATCAAAATTACGACGACTTTTGGAAGGCTGTAACTTCTTTCAGAAGCCGCGTAAAGTCATAATTTTTTCAAGAAAGATCGATAAGCCAATTTCAAATGACTAACTATTGGCAAAAATGTCTACACTAGTCTGAACGAAAATACCGCATCTAAAACGAAAGGCTTGACTTCACACTGCTGTAGTTCACAGCATGGTTTACACAAAGAAACGAAACAAACATAGTCAAGTAGCAATTTTTAAGAGCTTTACAGTAGTACCAAATACTTACCGATTAACGCTACAAACCTCTCCAAGAAGTCCAATCTCGTGAGGTATCCTAAAAAAACGCCTGATTAAATTGGCACGCGAAATTGACCCCCGCGGCAGCCACCCGCTGGGGAGATTAGTGCAAGTACCTAGCTATGAGAGTTTTGGCGAAGGTGCCCTTGCTCCTCTTCAGGCTGTGCCACGTACTCTCAATGTTGTTGGTGTGAGCACCAGTCTGAGGGTCCTTAAAATGTTTGCTGTGGTTAACCTTTTGATGGGTATAACCACAGCCACCTGACCTATCGCATGCTTTCCAACAATCCGAAACTATTACAGAACCTTTCCTAATTTATTTTTCCACTATTGGGACTAAAGTACCTGCTGACCTATCTTCTACCACTACAAAAAAAACAGTTCTCTCTATTGTCTCTCTCTATACCCCCAAAAACCCAAACTCCATCTACGTGCGTGCCTCTATGAAATTTCCTCTTCCCAAACTTGCTTTCGTCTATTTCTACCACGACACCTTCGCCACCTATTTGACTAAACCTATCCTCACTGTCCAAAATGTCTACACAAACGTCTCTACAAAAATGAAACCAATCGACTACACTTTTCTCGCCTACACCACTCTCTAAACTACACTGTTTGTTGGAATAAGCCCCTGACCAGAAATAAGTCACTTTCACTGCAGTCTCCAAAGAAAAATGGGAGTGGCTGAACCAGCTCCCAAAACGAATAGAAAACTTTCTTCTACACCTCCGGGAAACGCTCCTCCAGCAATGTCCGTCAGCAGAATAAGTACAATCTTTGACAAAAGCTAAAGAAGCACCACACTCACAAGAAACATCCGAAAAATCAATTAACAAATTGTTGTCAAACAACCACTTTACAAAAACAGAACGATCAGAAATTAATCTGGCTAATGGAAAAACAGTAAAAATCTCTGGGTCAGCCATAGCGAAAACATCATGCAAGCATCACAATCAATTCAATAATGGCGCAAAGTGGACAATCGGGGTAATTAAACCTGGAACAGTGGTGCCAATTATGCAAATTACCTCTCGTACCCTGCTTCGCAGCACGTGCAAAGTCGCGCTGGCGGGGGGTTGCTAAATGCAAACAAGCGCTCGTGCGCATCTCTCGCCCTCCATTGTACTTGGCCGGACCACTTTGGGGATGGGGTGGGGGTGGTACCTAGCTCGCGTGCATCTCTCGCCCTCCATTGTACTTTGCCGGACCACGGGGTGTTGGTGTGGGGGAGGGGGTGTAGGCCTACGCCTCGCACAGTCGCGAGCAAGAGAAGAATAGTGGACCACATGATTAGATTGACCAATTAGCGTCGTGGGTCAAAGGGCACGGTCGTGATGGCTGAAAAACCCGGTAACAGTCGTCAGTTGGCAGTCGGAGGTTGAAGACGTAGGAAAGTGAGTAGGAGAGTGAGTAGGGGAGCCCGGGAAGGAAGAATATAGGACCACCAGGCAACAGCTGAACAGGCACAAGGCCCACGGGGCGCCATAGCGAAAGTAGTCCCGACCGGCAGCTCAACCCGTGACCGGTAAAGTACAATCTTACCTACATTAGGCCTACGGTAGGTTTCTCTTGGCGCCCTCGACGATGCGACACCCTCCCTGTCACTCACCACCCTCTCTCCCAAGGTAGGGTAAGAAACGAAAAAGTCCCCAATTTATAACATGTATTTCTGCTAGATTCTTCTTCTGGTACTCCTTCTATTTCTTCATCTTCTTCTTGTTCGTCTCCTTTAATTCCTCCTGCTTCCCCTCCTCTTCTCCCTGCTGTAGGCAGTTTGGTAATACCGCAGTGTTGCGGTCCCGGTCCTTTATTTACAGTGCGGCCATCTTGGATACAATGAAATCTCGCTTCCGGGACCGGGGAACGATAATGGCCAGATTTTCAAGGCATGGGGCTACAAACAATGCCAATCAGCACATTAAAATATAATAATTCTGTGGACCCGGTAGAAATCTTTTGTGTGTGTGTGAGAGAGAGAGAGAGAGAAAGAAAGAGAGAGAGAGGGGGGGGGGGGGTGCTAGCAAAATGTAAATGACATGCCCCAGTTTGGCAGGAGGGAACGAGAGAAAGATAGAGTGGCAAATTTAGATCTAGGTTAGCCGCGAAACTAGAGGAAAGATTTGTGTCTGTCTGCTTAGATCTAGATCTAGACCATAGATTTAGAAGAACCTAGGTCTGCCCTGAGCCAAGAGGGCGCTGAAACTCTCCGAAATCACAAAAGAGTTCCCCTACCGGGTCTGTATACTTTGTGACTTTGTTCCCGGTTACTGGGTCCGTATACACTCCCCCGAATTTCCAGTGGCCCTATCCACTCCCCCGAATTTCCAGTGGCCCTATCCACTCCCCCGAATTTCCAGTGGCCCTATCCACTCCCTCAAACACCCACCTCTATTGCACCACTCCCCCTACGTTGTTCTTCCTTTTAGCTATAAATAAGACTTTCGTCTATCTCCACGTGCTGTCCAACTCCACCTATTAGAAAAGGAGTTTCTACTAGCTTAAAAGAACAAACGTCACGGAAGTACGCGAACCACTGGATTACCGTGTTCTCACTCAATCCAGTCAGGGACACAGTGTGAACAACTGGCTCCTTGAAACTCCAAGAGAAGAGAAGTTCAACAATGTTCCGTGAAGTCAACTGACTATGTTCGAGGAAGGTGTCCTTACACAAAAAAACCTTCTCACCTTTATGAGTTGGGCACCTAAAGCACCTTTCTTCCCCCCTACCTGTTTTTACTAAAGTCGTCTGCCTCGGACATTGCAGACAAATTGGAGGCACTGATCGAATCAAATTGTTTTGTTGCAAAAATCTAAGCGCAGCTTCTTCGTTGGGGGCATTCTCATATAAAATATTATAAGCCATAGTGAAAAAACAGCAAAACTCATGGCGCCACATTGTGAAACTCAATCAATTTTTAAAAAATGAAGCACACAACTAAAATCGTATTTTAAAAAAGGCACAAGAAAAGGAGAAATTGATGATTCAATCACTGAAGAAAAGACTAATTAAACAGCAGTAACTGTAACACTATAGAAATATCCTGGAACTTTACACATGTGACTAAAGTGAACCATGCAAGTCAACTGAAGTGGCGCGAAATTACTTTCGTGGCGTGGTTCGCTATGCCAAAATTAAATAACAAGTTTAACATATGTCTAGATTTTATAATATGATTTTAAAAATAATTTTTGTACCACTTAACACTTTTCCACCACATGCCTATATAGTAAAAAAAAACCTGGCTCCACACACCATTTGAGCTAATCTGAAGGTGAAAGTAGAGGGTTCAGAGAAATGGGCACTGCTCTCTTGTAAATGCATGGATTATTACCAAACTTGAGGGACAGTTGTATGAGTGAATAAGGGTTTTATTCGTGTGAAGAAAAAAACAATCGCTTGATCACGGCAGCCATTTTGAATAAATTATGCAAAATTTAAGTAAAATATAACGAAAAAACCAAATTTTCACCTTCCTGATAAGTGATTTTACCCTAAATCTATAACAGTTAATATTCCAGAAAGATGATTTGACCATTTCTACATAATAAAAATCACAACAGGTGGTCGCTGGGTGCATTTAGAGGCATTGTAGAGTCAAAATAAACATGTAGGCCTACCCTGTTAGGGGTCAGAAGAGGTCAGCACGAAGCAAAAGTATAGGGTTCAGAGAAATGGACACTGCTCTATTATAAACTCATGGATCATTACCAAATTTGGAGGACAGTTGTATGAGTGAATGAGGGTTTTGCTCAAGTGAAAAAAAATCGAATTGCATGATCACGGCAGACAATTTGCATAAATTATGCAATATTTACATGAGATATATAAAACCTGCCACTAATTTCCCCTTCCGAAAGCAAATGCCCCAGAAGGATAATATGTACAAAGTCAATTTTGAGTGTGGGTGTGTGTATGTGTGTGTGCGTGTGCGTGTCTATGAATATGTAGGTCTCTTGAGAAACATGAAAAAAAAATGTGACGATAGCTAACAGAAGTAGAAAGAAATACATGGAATTGTAAGCCTACTCACTGTGAAAATATATAATCCAATTTTGCTTGCTCTAATAGAAGGGAGTTTGGTAGCATTTAGTCCGTGAGCTGTTGCCGTGCCTGTTTGACGTCAACAGCGGTGTGCCAGATGCGGAAACAGTCACGGTCAACACACAAAGCAGTGTTGCACTGGGGGCAGTGGAAGCGCGTCTGGGCCCTTTTCTTGATGGTCGCACAGACCTTGCATACTGGGCGATGTTTAGGATCCAAGTATTTGGCAGGGAAGTGCCCGAACTGTGCAGCAGAGAGCCGGTCAACAGTTGGGTTCGGCTGCGGCCGGCATTTTGATTTGCGCACAGCCATGTGGGGCTTGATAAGCGCATCCACTACAGCAGACTTGAAGTCCTTCACGTTGTCCTTGCCACCACTGCGTTTGTACAAAATGTGGGCATTCACAAGGCAGGCATCTTTCACATAGAGGTAGAGCGCGAGATACCATTTGTAGCTGCGGTGGGGATATGAATAGTTTTTGTGCAGCTGATCGAAATGATCGACGCCGCCCATGTACGCATTGTATGTCTCAGCAATTACTGGCTTTTCGACCCGCCGAAACCCGCCGTCATCCTTTGCAGAGCGCACCAACTTGTCCATAGTGTTATTCGTGTGGACTGTGCTAAGAAGGTGCACGCGCTTTGTGTCGTGCCAAGCCGTGGCAACCATGTCACCAGACCTAGAAAACACTGGCTCGTCGCCTTTTTTCAGGGGAAGGTTGGTGTGTTTTAGGGCATGAGGGAACCCCTTTCTGCTCTCCACAACAGTGCCCACTGCTCCAGTCTGCTTTTCCCTCAGGTCTGCAAAGAGTGCTGGAGAGGTGTAGAAGTTATCACAGAACAATATGTGACTCTTCCCAGTGTACCCATCCATCAGGGTCTCCACAAGATGATGGGTGAAAGGCTTACCCGCTGGTACTGGAAAGTAGTCCTTCCCAGTGTACACAATAAATTTCAGACAATAAAACGACACAGAGTCGCACAAACTAAAACACTTGAAACCGCGTTTCGTTGGTTTGTCTGGCATATACTGTCGAAAGTGACATCTGCCTTTGAAGCGAGCCATGCTCTCGTCTATGCTGAGCTGCTGATGCGGATAATACACGGCACTGAAGGAGGGGATGATGAGGTCTAGGAATTCCTGGACTTTTTGCAATGGCTGGTAGCCATCCTGTCTACGAGGAACATGCTGTGTGATATCACTGAAGAAAAAGAAAGGAAATCCAACAAATCAACAACAACCAACCAATTACCAATTTGTGAAACTTGTGGTGGGATGCGAATCGTGAACAAGATTTTTTTTTCTTTTGATTGTTATGACAGCACTGAATAATGATAAAAATTTCAATACATTCAGTGTGATTAGTATTGGCTAGATCTATAATGTATTGCTATGAAAAAATATAGAAGATTTCAACAACGCCTCGTCTTTGTTTTTCTTTGACAACTGGACATGACAGACTGATATCCAAACAAAATTTTCCGTCAGCAGATTTATGATCATGATGAAGAGGCAAAGCTTTGAGGATTTAGAATCTAGATCTAGATCTACTGTAAATTAGGAGTGAAACTGAAATATCAAAATGTAAGGTAGATCTAGACTTACCTGAGATGAAAGAATGCAGACAGGATCTTGAAGCGATGCTTGGACATGATGTGCCGGAAGTGAATATCAACCAGCCAGAAAGAGCTCCAATAGTCGTCAAGACTAGGCTTCGGGTTGAGACCCAAAGCGATCTGAAGGCCGATGAAAGCTTGCATCTCTTCCTTGTTGGTATTCGACCACCTTTTCTTGTAGTAATTTGTTTCTGGCAGGGCATGTAGGCACCGGGCTGCATAGTCATTAGTCTTGTTTTACTATCAGGTCGATCACAGCTGGCTTGAAAACAAGACTAAAGAAGTCGATACATCTAAAGTCTGTGGTGTCAACCAAAACACCTGGGCGCTGCTGAAATGGAGGGAGCCAGTCATTACTGTATGGGTCCATCCCATCGTACAGATTCCAGTGAAACTCTGGGTCTTGAGTAGTTGTTGTAGACGTGGGAGTGCGAGTTGGTCTAGGCCTGGCGGGCGGTGGAGGTGGCTGTGCCTGGGAAAGCTCACTGTCACTGTCAGAAGACAAAGATTCCCGAAAACGCGTCGGTCTAGTTCTAGCTCTTTTCGATCTTGATCGACAAGTTGGAAGCGTAGTTGATTCACCATCATTCTCCTCATCTAAATGCCACGAAATATCGCTTGCATTATCAGGGGCAGACTGTCCTGAGTCGCTGTCATGGTGAAAGAAACTGCTGTTGGTAGGCGCGCTCGAATCACTCATTTTCAACGTCTTTTCGGCTCGAAATTCGCAACGAAAATGACCAAACAGACGCTATCTTTCCCTCCTTTTCGTTCGTAAACCAGTCGGAAGTAAACATAATTGAAAACAAGTGCGCATGTCACGAAAGGGAAGTCATTCTAATAATGTGTTTGTAGAGCTCTAAGAGCCATCCCGTTGTTAAGGTACACATCGCCGATCGGCGATATGAGACGGGAACGCGAGTACTTCCGCATCGCCGTACGGCGACGAGAGACGGCAAAGTGTTAAACAGAAGTGTGTTTTTGGGCCATTTTAATGTGCTGTTTGGCATTGTATGCCTTGAAAACCTGGCCATTATCGTCACCCGGTCCCGGAAGCGAGATTTCATCGTATCCAAGATGGCCGCAATGTAAACAAAGGACCGGGACCGCAACACTGCGGTATTACCTAGATCTAGATCTATATTTAATCTAAAACGACATTTAAACGGCATATCAGCTTACCACTACGGTGCAGGATACCACTGAGACAGGTGGTCAATGAAATTGTTGAAAGCAGTTTTCGGGTCTTTCCCGTGCAGCTCTCGCCACATAAATTCATCTGAGAGTCTAAGTGCGAGGCAGGCATGGAGTTGTGTACTCCTTGCATGCACTTAAACCGTCTTTTTACGTTTTTCCAGTATCCTTCTACTCTGTTCGTGCATGCACCTGTCACTGGGTCTACGAAATTATGTTCGTGGATGACGGTCAAATGCGTATATGGCGGGTTAACAGGAATATTCACAATGTTAGTGTAAGCAGCAAAGCCATCACTGTGGATTGTAGTGCCGGGTGCAATACGGTTCTGAATAATATTCAAGAGAGTTGCTGCTGTTCTGTCTGGAACAATTTCTAAACACCCTTTGTTGTTTGTTGCCCTATCCACCCCACCAAAAACCCACCTCTGTTCTACTACCCTCCGTACGTTGTTTTTTCTCCTGGCTACTAAACTTTCATCTATTTCTACTACATAAACTGGACCACCTATCTGATAATTGTTTTCTACTAGCCACCTCGAACAAACATCGAACAGACATCGATCTCTAAAATAAGAAAACCACTGAACAACAGGTGTTTTTTTCTCCGAAAGTCCAGTGTCGTATGATTGACGGGTTCTTTGAAACTCCAGGAAAATAACAACTCAACAATGTTTCTGTAAATTGTAATTCTTACAAACTGTTTCTGTAAAATTGACATGGTGTGACAGCTGTGAACAACAAATTGTTACATAATTACGTGTAACTTGTTAGGTATGTAACATAATCGGTTAGTCACACAGTTGGTATGAGCAGAAAACACACTTGGTTTCAACAATACATATAAATACTACAGGAGGCAGTTGTATATGACCATTCTTTATTAAAAGATCTTTGCAATGGTAGTCTTAGGCACCAATTTATGTAGATTACATAACGTTATATAATCACGTGAAAATATTCAATAAAACCAGAGGGACACAACAGATTTGGACAAGATTTACATCAAATTACTCGTCTGAACAAGACGAATCCAACTGGACTGTCACTGCCCATGTTAGGGTAAAAAAAAAATTGTTTAGTTGAGGTATTAAATTTTCCTTTTAAAACGGTAATTACACGACATGAAATCAAAGGAAACAGTGTCTTGTTGTGCAACATCCACATTAGTAACAACAACCAACACTCACCACAAGTAGCTCGTACCTCCATCCAGTGATCAGGATACGTGGTGAGGGGAATCTTTAACACATGGTCAGATCCCCAAGGGCCATGTCAGCGAAGATCGATGTCTTCTTTGGGGAATGTCGTAATCTTCTTTGTTGCTCTCGTCCTCTGAAAATTTCCAGTAAGACACAACAAAGAAGTACTTCGAAGTCTTCCTCTTGACCTCGACCACCCTCTCGTATCTAGGGAAAGTCCCAAAAGAGAGATCATGCCCTCGAAGAAAATTTTTAAACCCCTCTGGGTCTCCTGAACCGGCTTTGTGTCTGCAAAAGAATTGAAAAGAAACAACTGACATAAGAATTGTACTGATGGATAGTAGTGTTCCACAAAAATTAAAGCAAGAGCAAAATTAATTTTTATCTTATAAATTATCACAGAGTGCTAAATCTGAAACAAACATCTTGCGATCATCTTGGTCTACCCCTGCCTCTTTTGCTTTCAATTTTTTCACTGAAAGTAAGATATTCAAAGCTTTTGTCCCTTCAGAGGTCCTACAAACTGTATTTGTCTCTTTCTGATATTTTTTGTAGATTTGTGGGCAGTCCACTAGGCATATATCTCCGCACTATCTTGTGATTCTATAAAATCATGGAAATATAAACGTGCAGGCAGTGTTAGTATTTGAAGATGTAAACCAACAAAGAAAAAGTACAATGACTTAAATTAAAACATTGTCAGAGGTCCCTGAATGTACCCTATACATTTAAGTAGGTTTTGGAAATATCCAGTATTCATACCTGAACTTGGAAACTGCAAAAATGCAGTTTGCAGCACATCCGGTGGCACCAAAGCTCTTCCCACTGATGCCGTGCTTCTTGTCCAGAGCTGCCAGGCAGGTCCTGCTTGTTGAGGCTATCGTGTCCAGAGGGTGAACGTTTCAGTTCAGCTCCAACAAACTGCTCTCCATAGACACTTGAAGGAGCCTCACCACGCACTTTGTGACATTTGCAGTCACATGAATTTTGTTGATGTGAGCACCATCTACACTGGTAGCATCCCAGGAGAGACAGAGGTGGCTGCTAGCCAAGAAACATTCAGCCAGTTGGAGAGAGGCCAACGCTCCCAACTCATATGCCATTTGTGCCAAAGTGGTGGGACTTGGAGCATGTGACAGCTTTTGTCCTGTCAGGGTCCGGAGTGTTGTACACATGATGACTCCACAGTGTCGCACTGGCACTTGGCAAAGGAGGAATCCATAAACACATTTCCGTATCGCAGTGGAAAAATGCTTTCCGTCCTTTGCCTCGATGAAGCCGTCGTCCTGTGACCCCCGACTGTTCCAGCGCGTCACACACTTCTTCCAGGTCCCTAACACTGTCTTCCGCAGCATGAAGTGCCTTCTTCAGTGCAAATTGCCTTTGAGGAGGAATATTTGCTTTTGCTATGTGGCATTTGAACTTGCTATTGGGTTACATTTGGATTTGCTATTTGTACATTTGAATTTGTTACGCACGATTGTGCACTAAAATTTCCTATTGTACATTTTGACTTTTTATGTGGTGTGAAACTTTGTATGTGGCATTTGATTTGTATTTCTTGTGTGTACATTTGATCTGAAAAAACTATAGTAGGACAAGTAAATTATACAAAAAACATCAAACAAAACACACAATAGAACCAGTAATTAATAAAAGAAAACGCATAAGATAAGATACATCTTTATTGTCTAGATCCTGGCACATTAGTTTGGTGTATTTCAAAACGTGCACATACACACAAACACAGACAAACACACCACAGACACACGTACATGCACAAGTTTCAACAGTAAAAAAAAGAATAGCGTAAGTGATCTCTGAGATCTGCCATGTAAATCAGAGAGGAACAGAACCACAAAATCTATATCTCTCGATTTACCATGCCTAGCAAATTCATAGGAAACAGCAAATTGGCTTATCGAGCATATCAGTTGGTCAAATGTTTTAATTTGGCATATTAATATTACAACTACTGCTTCCGGTTATAATGCAAACAAACAAAAATGGCCGCCCCTGAGCGGGGACATCACAAGTCGACTAGTGCCCGAGACCGAAACCCAGAATACCCACAGGTTCAGTCAATCGTTATTCGTAGCCCGGTTTGCGCCCTGTAATATAACGCCATCCAAGTTGCTTTGACTTAAATGCGCTGGCATTGGCTTCGCTTCGGCACTGTTTGGAATTTCATGGACGGACGGACGTGCGTGCAATCTAGATCTAGGCCTACGCCACTACAGGTCAACGACGTGAACGCCAGCCCGAAGAAAGGTAAGTTGGCTTATCTTTAATTTGTGTAGGCCTAGTGGTTAGGCTCTCGGACTCGCAGCCGTAAGGTCGTGGGTTCGAATCCCGTCAAGGGCCCGACGTTGTGTCCTTGGGAAAGGCACTTTACACGAATGTTCCTCACTTCACCCAGGTGGGAATGGGTACCCGGCTATAGACAGCGAAAGATCTTGTCAGTTTGTTTGTGTTTGAGCGCTTAATCAGCTGCTTGCACTGTATGCTTCCCGGGAAGCTGAGAATGTTTCGGAGTGTTCTATGGTCTGCTGGGGTAATAATATAGTGTAAAGCGCATAGAGCCTGCTGTTGAGCGGGGATATGCGCTATACAAATGCTATCTATTATCTATTATTATTATTATTATTAAAAACACTTTGTATCTTGACTCATCGTGTGTAGCCTAATTCTGATTTTATTGAAAAGCTGCTCTTATTGGCCCACATTGGCAAATAAGCTGGGGCTTACGGCTTATTGGCCAACATGGGCCGTTTAATGCGTTGTTTTTCAATGTATTTCATACGTGGTGTTGTCCCGACTTGTTCTCTTTTATTTTTTCTCACTTTATCCCTTCTTGTTAATGTTTTCCTGGGGCATTCCATCTCGCACACACATTTCTACAGATTTGATTGTTTGTCAGTGTTATTGTTATGCTGTAGACTTTGATCGTCTGCGAACAGTATTTCATTTAGAATTTAGGTTCTCCGGATGTGTTCTTGCTTCTTTCGTCAAACAATATATTAATTACGGTATATCCTCTCCATACCTCTTCAGTGCCTTCTCACATTGCGTGAATGACTGCAAGGTGTCTCCAACATTTAGTGTCATGATTGGAGGTAATGGGGGTGCGATGATTATAATGTTTTAATGGGGAAAGAAAAATGGGTTCAGACGGGCGAGCTGATGGTTGTGAATGTGAAAAGAGAAAAGGAATAGAATAGGCTTGGCTACCAAAGGCAGGACAAGCGGAAAGCGCGCGCCGGTAAAACAGGGGAGATCACTCACAATTTTGTTGTCGAACCGGGGCTCGCAATTTTGTGGGCAAATAATAAATGTTCTCTAGGGGAAATTTTGTATGCCCCTGTGGGCCAATAAGCACTCCGTTATTGCAATGTTACCAAGGAGGTTATAATACGGCTGTGTTTTCCGCCCGGCGGAGAATAGCCAAATTTATTTTCCGCCGGGTTTTTCAAGCTGGCCTTTTGGCCTAGGCCTCGACACATTTCCGTCGCACGTCGGTTTTTCAATCTCAACCTTTGGACTTTGACCTAGGCCTAGGTTCTAGGCTTGATAGAGGCCACAGCTTTTCAATTTTCTTTTCTTTTTTGTGTTAATCTTCAACCCTGATGCCACATCAGGCGGCAGAGCAGCCAGTAGGTTTCTTCTGACAGAGAGAGCTTCTTTGTCTCTCCTGTGTTTGAGCTGTTCCATGTATTTAGCCATGCTCCTCCTGGAGAGCTTGTTGTGCCCAGTAGTGGTCTCTTCGTTTTTTGTTTAAAGCTGCCCTCTTCTGCTGTGTGCAGTTGTCTCTGAATTTTTGTGCAGAAATTCTCTGCTTTTCTTGCAACCAGAAGACCTAAGTTCAGTTCCCAAGAGGAGTTGATATAAATATTCTATTTACTGGGTACATCATCTCCATTGGCTTGTTGGAAAGCATGGTTAAAAGTGTTTTAAATCTTAAACCTTTTACTTTGTGTCAAAGGGGTCACATGTAATCAACGCTGTAGTCATATTATATAAGTCAAACACAAAGAGTCTATGGATGAAGCACACCATTATGACTGTGTCTATTGCATTCGTCTTAAAACTTCACTGAGCTGCCTTTGACCAATATTGAAGTAGGTACTGCAACAAGACTTGACATCTGTATAATGTACGTCAGTGGTCAAGGACTGATACTGGTGTCAGTGGTGTAGTGGTTAGGCACTTCGGCATCACATATATAGGAAGAATTTTTATCATGTATCTTGGGTTTTTCTGCGGGGATATGGTACCGTATCCCTCACAGCTTGGATTGACCCTCACAGGCAGGGTCGAAGCTCGCCCCCTAAATGAATCAATATGACAATGAGAGGTAAAAACACTTTTTAAAATGCTGCATAATATAAGGACAAAAATGCGCAAGCGTTATGAGATGCAATGATGAGTTAGTGGATGGTCAGGTCAGGAATGAAAAATGACACTAGAACAAATATTGTTTTCGAGTCAGCTCACCTGTATTGTCTTTGCCTCTCACGTTGCAAGGCCCGGTTCCTTTCTTTAGCTTCTTCAGTCTGTCGTGAGGCCCTGTAATCCCGAATCCTGGCAGTTTCAGTATTTCGGTAAGCTACATAGTCATCCTGATTCTTTTTAAGGCCAGCCCTGAATTCTTTCATATGAAGGTAATCCAATACAAAATAAACACAATTACTGTGCACTTGCCAGCTCCTTGTGGAAACTAGCAAAACACAGTCCCTTGTGCAAGTGGACCTTGCAAATTGAACAGCCATAGGGGGTCTCTGGTGTTCTTCCTTTGTTCGTCTTGGCTTTTTTTTATCTTGGAGCACCAGTGACAGGCCCCTTTCCGTCCGACGAGTCGATCCGGCTGATGGTCTGATGACAAGGAGCTCCCCAGTCCTGCTGTTGACACCCCGTGGCTGACCTTCCTCTTTCCCTTCGAAACATTTCCTGCAACCAAAGCAGAGCAGATGTCCAGTCTGAATTTCAGGTGACTGGCACTTCTGGCGTTTGATGGAAGGGGTCGTTGGGCGGCTCGGTACAGGTTCCAGGCATTCACTATTGACACCTACACCACAAACCAGAGAACGTATCTCAACCACTTCACCCCAGATCTTCCCACTGCATAGTAGGAGTGAAGCTGGTCAGCCAGGTCAACGCCAAACATGTGGTTGTTGTAGTTCAACACGGAGTTCGGAATCTCAATGTGTTGAACGCCACCTTTTACACGACGAGTGACGGTGGAGACACCTGGCGACGAATTTGTGGAGAGAACCGACACTTTCCGCTTGTCGTTGAAAACTGTTGACAGAAGACAACGTTTCGTCATTGCTTTGATCTCTCCTGGAGCCATCTTGTCAGTGTTCGCTTTATTTAGCTGCTGAGGCCAACCCTTCCATATTTGCGGAAATTTAAATATCATTGGTTGTTCGTTCATAACGGTCATTACGACATTTCGGGGTCTCGTGATCTGCTTCACTTTTAAACAAAATCACATGACGTAGAGGGAAAATGACCTGTCCGGTGGACCAATGAAAAGCCATTGTTTAAATGTAGGTCATTTCGCGGGTGATGCTCTTAATGGCTAGCTTGTCAAGACAAAGAAAAGTCCGATCGGGAAATTATGACGCGCGTTATGAACGGACAAACATATTTTATACGGCAATAACATCATTAAATTTTATAAAACGAAACTTAGCCAACAGACATCATTATGATGATGTATACTAAACTACTTTCAAAGTCTGGTAGCTCTTTACTTGATGGTTTTGGATTAACAACATTCTATATTTAACCTACTGTAACGCGTGCGCTTGAGATGAGAAAAAAATGACCTAATTCTAATGCTTTTGCCATTGTTTGAAGAGTTATAAGACACAAAGAGCAATATAGCTGCTCAGGCTGCTTGGCCAACCTATTTCCTTGCCACTTTCATCATGTTTTTGGAAGAAAACATATTTTTCAATGAGTTGTGGTTGATTTCAAAACACCTCATGCAGACACCCCCACCTTTTGTCAAAAGCTCATTTATGGTCTTTCTTTAGTTTAAAAACATCAGACTCTGCAATATAAGAGATACAAAAATCTTTCCTCTCCTCACACAACTTCCTAAAATCAACCTTAAGATTTTTATTTAAAAACACATTTAATCTCTACAATCATGGGGTCATCATTATGAAGAAAGCCATCTGGGGATGCAGCAACATAGGGATGTGTCTGACTGACAATGAGACCTGTGCTCCTAAATACATGCTTCTTGAACTTAAACCGCAAAATGTTCTTAATGGAAGGCTCATTTAAGCGCTCAAATTGAATAGGCTTAATGCCGCTCAAATCTGGTCCTGGTTGCGAAAGCTCCTGGGCCAACTTAAAAAATTCACCCTGCCTGTTAACAATTCTATTATATGAATTTGACGCTGTTAACCTCTTCAGTCTTTCGGCATGCCACTTAGTGTGACTTAAGGGAAGTCTGGGGAATGGTTTCAAGTTCAAGAGCCTGTATGTCAGATGGTGTCATTTTTACATGTTGATGGTAATATAAAACTAAAACAGCATCAAGGGACAGGGACTCCACAGTGCTGCCAGCAGAAGCACCCTCATCTCCAGCTGGGACTGGCAATGGTGACGTCTGTTTTGCAGTAAAATGTTTCATCTACAGCAAGGGATGAAGACGATGCTCCCGACAGGACCGAAAATCTAGGTGTTGTCGGAGCCAAAGATGACAATGCCATGGTGTTCACTGAACCGTCAAACGATGGCTCGGGTTCCATGAACACATCTGTTACCTTCATTGATTGCACTGGGCTGGGTTTCGGATGATGCCACTTCTGCAGCTTTTCAGTGGGGGCTTTGTTAACTTTGTATAGCTGCAGCCATCCATAGTCTTCAAGGGCTGCCAGTAAACCAAACACCTGTTTGCAGCAGGCCGGTTCCTTCCCACCAGGGCATTTGCACTTTGCACTAGTGACCTGTGGGGAAAAAAATGAAATACCGGTAGGTTATTAATAAATAAGGAAAAATGACACAAAATTGATTTCTTTGAAACTCAATCCAAAAGCTCCCCCACAGTCATAGCCTACATTTTATTACTCAATCATTATTATATTCAATAAAAATGACATGCACTAAATGCACACTCATAATAAACTAAATAACAGCCCTTTTTAAGTGGTCATGTTAAGCCTTTGCATTAGTGAATCCACTAACAATAGCCTTCTGTTACTAGTTAGTGTTAGTTGAACCGGGTCTAAAGCTATCGGGAACATAGCATTGTACTGTAGATTAGTGTCGAAATCTATAATCTTACACCTTTTTTGACCCCCATTCTTAAAACATTTCTTACATTTTTGCCTCCCCCCCCCCCCCATCCCGTAATAGGCTAAATTATATTGTTCGCTTTTATAATATAATGTGGCATTTATTTATAATTATTGATATTGCGCAAATCCGTCAATCATTGTTCTATACGCTTTACGTAATATTCATGAAAAACATGCATACACACATGATACATACACATAAAATACAATTCTACATTCATTAAAAAATTACAATACGCTTTACGTAATATTCATGAAAAACATGCATACACACATGATACATACACATAAAATACAATTCTACATTCATTAAAAAATTACAGTAAATCAAATTAATCATTCAAGCAAAATATTGCATACACACACCCTGGTAAAGGTTTAATCTAAACTAGATTTGTAGATGTAGATTGAGCTGCCAGCTGTCTCGCCACAGGCCACAGCAGAAGAGGTAGAATCTAGCTGCTAGAAGAGGTAGACTCTAGCTGCTAGATCTAGACCTTAGTGCCATCTGTACTAGGTAGGCCGTGGTAAATAATGATTGTATCAGAGTGTGCAAAATAACTGAACCTGTACTTAGATCTAGATTATTATATCTCCAACTAGTGTAGGTTTACTTACAGTGTTGTTGCTGTCAGTCTATACAGTCACGTCGTACGCCTCCCTCTTTTTCATCTCAGCTTTCACTCGACTGTAGACTGTGAAGCCTTACTCGTCCTTGTTGAGGAACCATATGTCCGTGACAAAAATGGTCACTGAAAAGAAGCGTGCCTTTCCTCAGCTCATGGCTGTAGTTATTGTCACATTTGTGTGAAATGTTCAGTAGATCGCAAAAATCGAGAACATTGATAATAGTGAAGTTGTGCAGCTCAAACGGGGCATCGGTAAGCCTTAGTAACTTCGCCATTTTGCTAGTAGCGGAGGGAGGAGGTCCCTGACTGTCAAGTTAGGGAACCGACTTTTAAGACACCAGTCAGAGGGCATCCCATTTTTAAACTTGAGTCTTCACGTTCAATTGTACCGCCACTCTCCCAAAGCAAGTGAGGGCCTACAGCTTCGTCATGAGGAACTCCGTCCGAGCAGAGTCGAGTATCTTCTGGACACTCATTTCCTCCACTTCAAACGGGGTTCCACATTTTCTAACCGGCTTGACTCATGGTTCTTGAACTTAAATACATGGTTCTTGAACTTAAACCGCATAATGTTCTTGATGGAAGGCTCATTTAAGCGCTCAAATTAAATAAGCTTAATGCCGCTCAAATCTGGTCCTGGTTGCAAAAGCTCCTGGGCCAACTTAAAAAAATTCACCCTGCCTGTTAACAATTTTATTATATAAATTTGACGCTGTTAACCTCTTCAGTCTTTCGACATGCCACTTAGTGTGACTTAAGGGAAGTCTGGGGAATGGTTTCAAGTTCAAGAGCCTGTATGTCAGATGGTGTCATTTTTACATGTTGATGGTAATATAAAACAGCATCAAGGGACAGGGAATCCACAGTACTGCCAGCAGAAGCACCCTCATCTCCAGCTGGGACTGGCAACGAGTTCCACATTTTCTACCCGGCTTGACTCCTACGAGCTGGCTGGTCTTTCCTAACATAGTCTAATAACGTGGATTTGGGTACACCTCATCTCCTACCACTGCAATATCCCTGATGACCTCATCTCCTACCACCGCACCATCCCTGATGATCTCATCTCCTACCACTGCACCATCCCTGATGACCTCATCTCCTACCACTGCACCATCCCTGATGACCTCATTTCCTACCACTGCACCATCCCTGATGACCTCATCTCCTACCACCGCACCATCCCTGATGACCTCATCTCCTACCACCGCACCATCCCTGATGACCTCATCTCCTACCACTACACCATCCCTGATGACCTCATCTCCTGCCACCGCACCATCCCTGATGACCTCATCTCCTACCACTGTACCATCCCTGATGACCTCATCTCCTACCACTGCACCATCCTCATCTATCAAAGGCATATCTTGTCCCAACTTCACATCAAACACTGCACAATCCCTCCCATCTTCCCAAGCTTGCACCACCCTTTCTATCTTCTCAATCCTTTCCTTGGACTCCGGAGAGTGGGTGGTTGGCGGGTGCTCTGGTGTGGTATGCTTCTTCTTTCCTATCAAACATCTATCGTCCTTATCTCCCCTTCTTTTTTATGTCTGTTACTCTCTTGTAACACCTCTAATCTTCTGGCGCTCAAATGACCTTATGCAGTTGCGAGCGCCGTAAAACCTCTACGAAAACAAAAAAGACTCCGGAAACCCACTCATTTTTAGAAGGCGTGACAGTCTGGCAAGGACTGCCTCAGTCCGGTGGTGTCTTGCTTCTGACCCCACAATTGAACGCACAGTGACCGGTGCAACTCGAGAGAGGGGAACACCCTCAACAACGTTTCTCTTAAGCCACCTATTGTCAGGAGCATACAAGTCAGCCTGAGCAACATTAAAAGACTCAGCAAAGATGGACAGCATGTGGCAACAAGGCAGAGACGTTTGACAAAAGAACAGACAAGAACAGGACAAAGGACAACCACTAACACGGAACACCAAAAGCATCAAGACAGTCAAAGCCATCAACAACAAGAACAGGGAAGGACGCATGATCTTCAAGCATCAACTGCACAGCATGTGCTAAAAAAAATAGAATATAAACACTGCCATCTAGGATTCGTGTCACGAAAGTGAAAAGACGACATTATTTCAACTGCTGAGGCAGTCCTGACGTCAAACTGCAGAGTAAGTGAGTGCTGAGACAGCTTCTTTATTGCCATTGACATTGAAGTGTTTCTGTTCAGAATCTCTTTCAGCCTTCTGTTTTCCCCCTCAGTCTGGCAAGAACTGCCTCAGTCCGGTGGTGTCTTGCTTCTGGTCCCACAATTGAACGCACAGTGACCGGTGCAACTCGAGGGAGGGGAACATCCTCAACAACGTTTCTCTTAAGCCACCTATTGTCGGGAGCATACAAGTCAGCCTGAGCAACATTAAAAGACTCAGCAAAGATGGACAGCATGTGGCAACAAGGCAGAGACGTTTGACAAAAGAACAGGACAAAGGACAACCACTAACACGGAACACCAAAAGCATCAAGACAGTCAAAGCCATCAACAACAGGAACAGGGAAGGACGCATGATCTTCAAGCATCAACTGCACAGCATGTGCTAAAAAAAATAGAATATAAACACTGCCATCTAGGATTCGTGTCACGAAAGTGAAAAGACGACATTATTTCAACTGCTGAGGCAGTCCTGGCGTCAAACTGCAGAGTAAGTGAGTGCTGAGACAGCTTCTTTACTGCCATTGACGTAAGAAGTGTTTCTGTTCAGAATCTCTTTCAGCCTTCTGTTTTCCCCCTCAGCCTGGCAAGAACTGCCTCAGTCCGGTGGTGTCTTGCTTCTGACCCCACAATTGCACGCACAGTGACCGGTGCAACTTGAGGAAGGGGAACATCCTCAACAACGTTTCTCTTAAGCCACCTATTGTCAGGAGCATACAAGTCAGCCTGAGCAACATTAAAAGACTCAGCAAAGATCAGCCTTCTGTTTTCCCCCTCAGCCTGGCAAGAACTGCCTCAGTCCGGTGGTGTCTTGCTTCTGGTCCCACAATTGAACTCACAGTGACCGGTGCAACTCGAGGAAGGGGAACATCCTCAACAACGTTTCTCTTAAGCCACCTATTGTCGGGAGCATACAAATCAGCCTGAGCAACATTAAAAGACTCAGCAAAGATGGACAGCATGTGGCAACAAGGCAGAGACGTTTGACAAAAGAACAGACAAGAACAGGACAAAGGACAACCACTAACACGGAACACCAAAAGCATCAAGACAGTCAAAGCCATCAACAACAGGAACAGGGAAGGACGCATGATCTTCAAGCATCAACTGCACAGCATGTGCTGAAAAAATAGAATACACCAAACACTGCCATCTAGGATTCGTGTCACGAAAGTGAAAAGACGTCATTATTTCAACTGCTGAGGCAGTCCTGGCGTCAAACTGCAGAGTAAGTGAGTGCTGAGACAGCTTCTTTACTGCCATTGACGTAAGAAGTGTTTCTGTTCAGAATCTCTTTCAGCCTTCTGTTTTCCCCCTCAGCCTGGCAAGAACTGCCTCAGTCCGGTGGTGTCTTGCTTCTGACCCCACAATTGCACGCACAGTGACCTGTGCAACTCGAGGAAGGGGAACCTCCTCAACAACGTTTCTCTTAAGCCACCTATTGTTGGGAGCATACAAATCAGCCTGAGCAACATTAAAAGACTCAGCAAAGATGGACAGCATGTGGCAACAAGGCAGAGACGTTTGACAAAAGAACAGACAAGAACAGGACAAAGGACAACCACTAACACGGAACACCAAAAGCATCAAAACAGTCAAAGCCATCAACAACAGGAACAGGGAAGGACGCATGATCTTCAAGCATCAACTGCACAGCATGTGCTGAAAAAATGGAATACACCAAACACTGCCATCTAGGATTCGTGTCACGAAAGTGAAAAGACGACATTATTTCAACTGCTGAGGCAGTCCTGGCGTCAAACTGCAGAGTGAGTGCTGAGACAGCTTGTTTACCGCCATTGACATAAGAAGTGTTGGTGTTCAGAATCTCTTTCAGCCTTCTGTTTTCCCCCTCAGCCTGGCAAGAACTGCCTCAGTCCGGTGGTGTCTTGCTTCTGACCCCACAATTGCACACACAGTGACCGGTGCAACTTGAGGAAGGGGAACATCCTCAACAACGTTTCTCTTAAGCCACCTATTGTCAGGAGCATACAAGTCAGCCTGAGCAACATTAAAAGACTCAGCAAAGATCAGCCTTCTGTTTTCCCCCTCAGCCTGGCAAGAACTGCCTCAGTCCGGTGGTGTCTTGCTTCTGGTCCCACAATTGAACGCACAGTGACCGGTGCAACTCGAGGAAGGGGAACATCCTCAACAACGTTTCTCTTAAGCCACCTATTGTCAGGAGCATACAAGTCAGCCTGAGCAACATTAAAAGACTCAGCAAAGATGGACAGCATGTGGCAACAAGGCAGAGACGTTTGACAAAAGAACAGGACAAAGGACAACCACTAACACGGAACACCAAAAGCATCAAGACAGTCAAAGCCATCAACAACAGGAACAGGGAAGGACGCATGATCTTCAAGCATCAACTGCACAGCATGTGCTGAAAAAATAGAATACACCAAACACTGCCATCTAGGATTCGTGTCACGAAAGTGAAAAGACGTCATTATTTCAACTGCTGAGGCAGTCCTGGCGTCAAACTGCAGAGTAAGTGAGTGCTGAGACAGCTTCTTTACTGCCATTGACGTAAGAAGTGTTTCTGTTCAGAATCTCTTTCAGCCTTCTGTTTTCCCCCTCAGCCTGGCAAGAACTGCCTCAGTCCGGTGGTGTCTTGCTTCTGACCCCACAATTGCACGCACAGTGACCTGTGCAACTCGAGGAAGGGGAACCTCCTCAACAACGTTTCTCTTAAGCCACCTATTGTCGGGAGCATACAAATCAGCCTGAGCAACATTAAAAGACTCAGCAAAGATGGACAGCATGTGGCAACAAGGCAGAGACGTTTGACAAAAGAACAGGACAAAGGACAACCACTAACACGGAACACCAAAAGCATCAAAACAGTCAAAGCCATCAACAACAGGAACAGGGAAGGACGCATGATCTTCAAGCATCAACTGCACAGCATGTGCTGAAAAAATGGAATACACCAAACACTGCCATCTAGGATTCGTGTCACGAAAGTGAAAAGACGACATTATTTCAACTGCTGAGGCAGTCCTGGCGTCAAACTGCAGAGTGAGTGCTGAGACAGCTTGTTTACCGCCATTGACATAAGAAGTGTTGGTGTTCAGAATCTCTTTCAGCCTTCTGTTTTCCCCCTCAGCCTGGCAAGAACTGCCTCAGTCCGGTGGTGTCTTGCTTCTGACCCCACAATTGCACACACAGTGACCGGTGCAACTTGAGGAAGGGGAACATCCTCAACAACGTTTCTCTTAAGCCACCTATTGTCAGGAGCATACAAGTCAGCCTGAGCAACATTAAAAGACTCAGCAAAGATCAGCCTTCTGTTTTCCCCCTCAGCCTGGCAAGAACTGCCTCAGTCCGGTGGTGTCTTGCTTCTGGTCCCACAATTGAACGCACAGTGACCGGTGCAACTCGAGGAAGGGGAACATCCTCAACAACGTTTCTCTTAAGCCACCTATTGTCAGGAGCATACAAGTCAGCCTGAGCAACATTAAAAGACTCAGCAAAGATGGACAGCATGTGGCAACAAGGCAGAGACGTTTGACAAAAGAACAGGACAAAGGACAACCACTAACACGGAACACCAAAAGCATCAAGACAGTCAAAGCCATCAACAACAGGAACAGGGAAGGACGCATGATCTTCAAGCATCAACTGCACAGCATGTGCTAAAAAAAATAGAATACACCAAACACTGCCATGTAGGATTCGTGTCACGAAAGTGAAAAGACGTCATTATTTCAACTGCTGAGGCAGTCCTGGCGTCAAACTGCAGAGTAAGTGAGTGCTGAGACAGCTTCTTTTCCGCCATTGACGTAAGAAGTGTTTCTGTTCAGAATCTCTTTCAGCCTTCTGTTTCCCCCCCCTCACACTTTGTTGTTTGTGTCATTGAGGTAAAGACGACTGTGGAGGCGGGCGTGGTATGTTTGTGTCATTGAGGTAAAGACGACTGTGGAGGCGGGCATGGTATGTTTGTGTCATTGAGGTAAAGACGACTGTGGAGGCGGGCATGGTATGCCCAAATGTCAATACAATTAAGCCAGTGGTTGGCAATGTAATCGTAAAAAACATGGGACAAAGACATAATTTCAGTCACATTTTTGTTAAATGTAGCAATGTCGTTCGTGGTGACAAGGAGTTCAAGGACATGGGCCAGCTGCTGCAGGCGGTCCTTCACCTCTTTTGAGCATTGCAGCTTCTGTAGCCTCGCTTTCATAGCCTTGTGCACAAGTTCTCAGTGGTCAGAGCCTCTTTCAATTATTCCGAGTTCCCAGTGTCCTTCACGATATTGACCACGGTGGTATTTTCGATGCATGATATTTTGATTCATCAATCTCGACAGTTTTGTTTGGACCACCGAGTTGAAGAGGATGACCGATGAGATATTGGGCACAAATATCGCTGACAAAATTTTGCCAATCTACTACAGTTTTGGGGGGTGAGGTTTAATTCATCAATTACGTACACTTGTCGAAGATCTTTGGATCATAAATAGATTAAATCCAACAGGAAGTAAAGTTGGCTCGTCCCTACTTTCCACTGGGAACAGTAAAATAGGATTAGACCTACGTTCCACAATGCCAAAGATCTACACTCTCTGCCCACGTGGCTGCCCTTTATTGTTCTTTACTTTGGTACCAGATAGAGATTCGTAAATCTCTACTGCGCCACTGGATTTAATTGTCTGGTAATATTACTGTCGTTCTACTACACTTCGGCTTTTGCCCCAAAGCCCCAATAATCCAGCTCAAAGAACACACTAACACACACTACTGGAAGGGTGGAGGGCCCCGAATGTCCTTACATTGGTCAGAAACAAACTGACGGATGATGTTGTAGAGATAGGTCTGCCCGTCCCTGGAGAGCCCTGGCGAACACAACACAGGAGGAAGAGTCGCACCGGAAGCCGTAATGGCAGGGTTCAACACAAACCCCTCCTCCTCCACCTCACCCTCCACACTCTCTTTGCTGCTACATATCCTGGCTTCTCTCCTGAAATGAAGAAGTGCTGAAGTTTCTTGGTACCAGGAAAGGACTTGGACCACGGCTTGAAAAAGGCCTGCCTGTCGTAGGTGGGAATATACAGGGTGCCGTCCTCCTCCCCAACAAGCTGGGCCCTGTTGATTCTTTTCCTGGTAGAACTGTCCACCACTGACTTAAATTCCCGGAGAGAATTGACACTGTGGCGTCTGAAACTCTTTTTGAGGATCCCAAAACACCAGTCTGGGGCAAACTTGGTGTGTCCCGGGAGCAAAAAGTGAAGACTCACTGACGTGTGCTGGCCGGCCAGAACTCGCCAGACAAGGTACTGCAAGAAGAACTGATTCTTGTTCTGTCCAGCACTGTTGTCGCAGTGTGGGTGCACGACACGTGCTGTTCCCCCAAGCTAAAATGAGTAAAGAAGTAGTGCAGGTAAGATATCACTGCATTACTCCCCTTACTGGCACACAGACCTTCATCAACCAAGAAGTTGATTTGCTGGGGGATGACCTCGCAGTTGACCCCAAAGATGCTGCATTTACGGGGAACCAAAAAGTAGATAGGCCCTGGCTGCAGGGGGTCATGTGGAAGGTGCACCTGCTGAGCGTAGTCAAATGAATAGTGCATGGCTATGATGTCACTATGTCCCGGCTGTTCTGCTCTTAGGGAGCGAGAGTGGAGATGCCTTGAGAGGCAGCTGCTAGCCGTGCACTATCCACAAGACTGTTTGTAATAACTACGCTCCTGCGTCTCACCGAACTGTTGTCCCTGGAGGTCTAGAAGGTCGCTCTTCTCCTCCACCGACAGTTGCAAAATTTCATGTAATTTTAAATGAGAGTTGAAAAAATATGAGTCTTTTCTCAAAGACATTTTGACACTCTTATGAGCTATACAGCGAAAAACTTTCTCCCCCCCCCCGGATTTTTCCGAGTTACCACGGGTACTGATTGCCTGCTGCTTTTGGCTCTTTTTACAGTAGGCCTGCTTTTTTTTCCCGCTCTTTCAAAAATCTTTTTCTTTCTGTTCTCTCGCTTTCTCTAACACCTCATCTGATGTCAAAATTCAATGATTTTAATGTGGCCTGGGTGGTTTTGGTTGGCGTGATAGATCTATCTGAGAAGAGGGAGGCCCATTGACCCCAAGAATAATGTCCATTGAGCTCACCCAGAACATCAGTATTGTTGGAGCAGTAGGACATGCTAGGGTCATGGCCACATTTATGCATATTTTTTCAACATTTTGTTACAATGACAAAATTACATGAATTATAGGAAAAATGTACAGGCGTGTATTTCTACATAAGAAAGAGCATTTCCGGTGAATAGTACATCTCACTCAAAAGCTCACTGTGGTGCAAGTCAGTTTTGGAGCAGTTGGAAATGCTAGGGCCATGGCCACATTTGTATATATATGCATATTCTTTCAACATTTTATGTTACAACGACAAAATTTCCTGAATGATAGGAAACAGCGCATCGGTTTTGGAATGTACGGTCGTACTTCTAATTCTAAAAAAGCGATGTCTAATTTTGTCGGTGGTGTGGGCGTGTTGAGTGTAAGGATCCACGTGTTGGTACAGATTTCCTTGCCATCTCTCGCCACACTCTGATATGACGAGCATGGACAATTCCATCAACCTCCGGGACCATCTCTTCTTCCGTACAGCCACTGAGCTCTCGGCTTTTGATGACAGCCCTGGATGTGATCAGACTTCTGTGAGGTTGAACACACAGGGATGCCACCAAACAAGGTGCAGGCCAACAGTTTGCCTGATTCTACACCGAAACTGACCTGTATCAGGAGGTCCGTGAGTCCTAGTTTTTTTTTAATGTATTTTGGTTTGTGTATCCCGAAACGTTTTAGGGACTTGTGTATCTTAAAAACGCTTAGTGTGGTTAGATTTGTATCTTGTTTTTCATCTTTTGGGGAGATCACCAAGAATGGTGACCACCCCAACGATGTTCTTTTAGGTAAGTCCCAGATGCTGACATAGTGAGCATGTTAGCCCGAAAGGCCTTTCATTCTCTTGCCCAGGCCAGGAGTTGCACCTGCTTCTCTTGTCTGGGACTTGTTGGGAGTCCAACAAATGGCACCGCTCGGAAGCCCATTGCTGATGTCAGGGTTACCCTGGGGGTATACTCCCAATCGGTTGGCAAGAAATCTCGCCATCCAACCAAGATTGGCCAAAAAACCGGTTCGATGAACCGGCCATTATAACCGGTTGAGTGCAGTAGGCCACTACGCCCGCCCGAATCCAGGGCCAAAGTGCCGTGTTGGTGAGGGAAGCCACCAGGATCCCATTCTCCGGTCGTACGGGTCGCACCCCATGGTCAATAAATTCGTAAAAATTGAAGTTGATTTTCTAATTTCATACTCTGTTATAATACGATCATTCTTTCCCGTCTTACAATTAATAACCGTATAACGGTCACATAAAAATCTCGGGAGTCTTTTCCCTACATAAATACTTTCCTTAGACAAATTCCTACTATATCCATTTTTATGTTGTTTAAATTTTCTTGTATGTTCTTACAAAAAAATTATTTTTTTTTGATTTGATAAAAATCTAAAAAATCTTTTTGCTGACTGTCATATGTCGGTCTTGTTCTAGTTTAATTTCCTTTACATTTTTTTAGGACTATTTGATTTTAATACAGCTTCTAAACAACATGATAAATTTTTTCCTGATAAGTGCTATTCAGACATTTTTTTCTTTTGTCCCGTCTAAGCACCAGAAGCCGACTCGTCTAGGGGTAAAAATACTCTACGGCACTGACATGCTGTAAAACGCCAAAGTTTCTCTTCATAGACAAACTCAAATGTATGTCCATTCTGATCCCAATTATGACCGGGGATCAACGGTATGGCAAATATTTCATCTCTCCACAAAAGATAAGCAATCTCTTCACTCCTATATAACGGCAATGGAATTGCCATCAAAGGACTTGCTGTTTCCTCTCTCTCTCTGACAAAGAAAAAAAGAGAAAATATTAAAGTATCCAAAACAAACAAACAAAATTAACAAACAATATATTATAATTATATTACAGAACAGAAGTCCCTAATGAACTTGATTCTCATTTTTGTGAAAGTCTGAACCACTGCACCTCCCCGCTGCCCGTAAGCCTTTAACTGAAATCCAACCAACCGGGATGTTTAATTTTTAGAGCTTAATTTCCACCAATGTCCCTGTTGATCATAGAGTACCGGTAGTGTAAAGATGAACGGACATCTTCAATGATCTTGGAGTGTTGAGATCTGTTTAATGTTCTGTGTGTGCCATTTTCTGACACAGTTTGCATTTTTTTTTTCTTTTTAGGTTGTTTTTTTTTCCGGGGGGGGGGGATCTTGAAATACTGGTAACTGCATATAGTTAAATTAGTAGCAGTCTGTTGATTTTTAAATATCTTTTTTTTAAGCAACTTTAGAAAGCAAACAGTTTGCAGTGTGAAACCATGCCGTGCTGTGATCTAACGTGAAACTCTCCATCTTGAGTCCCGTGCTCTCATCATATGCCTGCTTTATGCAGTCGAGAGCGGCATAAAACTCTTACCAAACTAAGTTTACAATGTGTGTGTGGGTTTTTTTTGTGAGACTGTAGATGTGATATATCGGCCCATCACTTGCTCGCTGAGAGAGTGGGACAAGTGTGGGTGGCAGATAAGCCGGTGACGTAGTAGTCGGAGATGTGGACATTTTTGTGTCATGAACAAAAAGTGGATCCTGTAATGTTTGTATCTCTTCCCCTTCCCAGAAATAGAAAGATATGAAAGTTTTATCTGAGACGGGACACACAGTAGTCCACC